CACAGCTATTTTCTGGTCTCAGTGTAGGGGGAAGCTGCAGGTTTTCATAAACTACTAAGTGGCAACTGTTGGCAAGAGCTGATTTTTCAATGGCAATCCTTGAATGAAAATATTAGAAAACAAACAAAAAGTCTAGTGAATAATGGGGTTGAATTATGTCAAAAGGATCTACACCAATGGGAAAAAAAAGAAGGGTTCTTGTAATGGAAGTGTATTCGCTCATGTACAGAAGAGGAGCATTGCTTTATGGCTTATTATTTCCTATTTATATTACAGTAACTACTGGCCCTGGTAGAAGTGGTTAAAATGTTTTGACCAAAATTTTTTCCTGCTGAAAAATGGGGTTTCATGAAAAACTTTTTCCATAGGAAACTGACATTTTTTCCCCTATGGGAAATTGATAAACAAAGCAAACAAAATTTTTGTTTTATTAAATTTCAAATGAAATGTTTGTTTTATTTTGTTTTTTTAAACCAATTTTTTTCTAAATTTAGAAATTTTGAATGTGTTTTCCACTCTTTTTTCCTTATTTGTTACCTAACACAGTAGAATGAAAGACATTCAATCTTTAGGGTTGGGAGTGTTTTCCCCACTTTTTTCTTGTTTTAATTTTTCCTTTTCCCACTCAATAACTTCTCAAAGTGAAATGCTATCACTTTGCCACTCTGTAACTTTTCCCAAGTTGGAGAAGTGTTGAAAAGTTACTGAGTGGGAAAATGAAAGATGAAAAAAAGAAAAAGTGGATTGAAAAAGCTGAACCCTAGAGATCATTTATTCTAGGGCAAAAGGGGGTGGAAACAAATTCAGAATAAAAAAAAATCAGTTTTCTGTTTTTAAAAAAAATTATTTCAAAGGAATCAAAACCCAACTTTTGTTTTGTTTCAAAATTTCCACTTGAAAAATACAAAATTTCAAATGAAACTATTTTTGTTCAACATTTTTCACAGAAAAAAAATTTGACCAGCTTTGGCCCCACCCAAGATGGGATCACATTGTGCTGGGTGCTGTAAACCCACACAGGAAGAGATAGCCCTACCCCAAAGAACTTGCAGTCTAAAGCAGACAAGACAGACAAAGTATGGGAGAAAGGAATACAACATACAAGCAGAAAATTGGAAACTGTGGCACAGAGAAACTGAGGTGGATATTTTGAAAGGGAAAAAGGACAATTAAGCACCCAACTTCTATTGAAAGTGAAAGGCATTTGTACCTTTGAAAATCTCCCCCTAAGCCAGCTAGAAGTCAGTGGTGGAGGCAAGAACAGAACTCAGATCTTGTGGTTCTCAGTCCAATGCATTAACTACAAGACCATCATCCTTCCTTTACCATTTATTTCCAAAATGGCATTCTTACCATAAGACGTATCCATCCTATCTAGTACATATTAATATACAACTTTCTCAGCTCTAAGGTGTGCATGTGGGAGTGAGAATTCTGGAGCATGGGGAATACAATTCTGCTGGCATGAAATCTGTTGAGCGCGTGGCTCATCCATCAGGAATGCCATTCTGAAGGGGACATTCCAAGTGTTTTTCAGCATGGGAAAATATTTTATCAAAGAAACTTGGAATAAAAAAAAAATCTAAACATGAACCCTTGACACAGTGCCACATGCTGGCTATTTTTAATTTGCTTCTTGATCGTTCCACTTGTTCTCATCATGGTCAACTCTTAGAATGATGGAATTAGTCACCATGTATGAGATGAAGTAAACAGATAGTTTGGGGCTTCAAAATGAGCCTGAAGTTAACTCTTCAGGGGAATTGAAAGTCATGATGGGAAAACATTAAGAGGCACATAGATTTACTACAGAAAAAGCAAGATGGACCATGGCTGTGTTTCCTTAGAGTCTGCTCTTCTAATCGTGGCCACTGGGATAGAGAAAGGCCATGTCTGTACCACTCTGTTACAGACAGAAATCTGAAAGACATTTATTACTGTTACTTTTGTCTGTGTAGCCACAATACCCAAGCTCCAGGATAGATTCCTAGATTCCAAAAGGGACCACTGTGATCATCTGGTTTGACCTCCTGCATAGCACAGGCCAGGGAACTTTCCTGAAATAATTCCTGTTTGATTCAGAGCAGATCTTTCAGAAAAACATTCCATCATGATTTTAAAATTACCAGTGATTGTGCTGGGTGCAGTGCAGACACACAAGAAGAAACAGTCTGTCCCCAAAATACTTGCAACATAGTTTGTATCAAGGTACATGAAGTGACCAAGAATGGAAAGAGAGGGGGGTGCCCATGTGGATTAGTTCAGGGAAGGTGTTTCATGTGCAAGGACCGGCATAGAAGAAAGCCCAAAGATGTTCATGGGAGAAGCAGGCCAGTGAACTGCACTCTCCACCATGCTGTTTATGTGAATGGGGGGAAAAGACCAGATTTCAAGTTTCAGAATAGGTAAATGCCAAACCTGACTACTCCTGAACAGTAGGTCCCACATGGTGGGACACCAGTAGAAAAGGGTGGGCTTTAGAGAGGAATTAAATTCCAAGTCATGAAGTATGTGCAATAAGGCCCACAGAATGTGTGCTCCTGTAAATCAGATTGGAGCTGTGTGCTGCCCTGTGCTTTGCCCACATTGCAGAAGCAGGTGATCATAGAATCATAGAATATCAGGGTTGGAAGGGACCTCAGGAGGTCATCTAGTCCAACCCCCTGCTCAAAGCAGGACCCATCCCCAATTACATCATCCCAGCCAGGGCTTTGTCAAGCCTGACCTTAAAAACTTCTAAGGAAGGAGATTGCACTACCTCCCTAGGTAATGCATTCCAGTGTTTCACCACCCTCTTAGTGAAAAAGTTTTTCCTAATATCCAACCTAAACCTTCCCCACTGCAACTTGAGATAATTACTCAAGTGATGCACTAACTGTTCTAACTACACGAATTAGAAATATTGCAAATGTCCAAAGGCCATTCACTTTCAAACAAGTAACTACTATGGAACTGCAGTGGCTGTGTTATTCCTTGACTTTAGCAAAGCTTTTGACATGGTCTCCCACAGTATTCTTGCCAGGAAGTTAAAGAAGTATGGGCTGGATGAATGGACTATAAGGTGGATAGAAAGCTGGCTAGATTGTTGGGCTCAGCGGGGAGTGATCAATGGCTCCATGTCTAGTTGGCAGCCGGTATCAAGTGGAGTGCCCAAGGGTCGGTCCTGGGGCCGGTTTTGTTCAATATCTTCATTAATGATCTGTTGGATGACATGGATTGCACCCTCAGCAAGTTTGCAGATGAGGCTAAACTGGGAGGAGAGGTAGATACGCTAGAGGGTAGGGATAGGATACAGAGGGCCCTAGACAAATTAGAGGATTGGGCCAAAAGAAATCTGATGAGGTTCCACAAAGACAAGTGCAGAGTCCTGCACTTAGGACGGAAGAATCCCATGCACCACGACAGACTGGGGACCGAATGGCTAGGCAGCAGTTCTGCAGAAAAGGACCTAGGGGTTACAGTGGACGAGAAGCTGGATATGAGTCAATAGTGTGCCCTTGTTGCCAAGAAGGCCAATGGCATTTTGGGCTGTATAAGTAGGGGCATTGCCAGTAGATCGAGGGATGTGATCGTTCCCCCTCTATTCGACATTGGTGAGGCCTCATCTGGAGTACTGTGTCCAGTTTTGGGCCCCACACTACAAGAAGGATGTGGAAAAATTGGAGAGAGTCCAGCGGAGGGCAACAAAAATGATTAGGGGACTGGAACACATGACTTCTGAGGAGAGGCTGAGGGAACTGGAATTGTTTAGTGTGCAGAAGAGAAGAATGAGGGGGGATTTGATAGCTGCTTTCAACTACCTGAAAGGGGGTTCCAAAGAGGATGGATCTAGACTGTTCTCAGTGGTACCAGATGATAGAACAAGGAGTAATGGTCTCAAATTGCAGTAGGGGAGGTTTAGGTGGGATATTAGGAAAAACTTTTTCACTAGGAGGGCAGTGAAGCACTGGAATGGGTTACCTAGAGAGATGGTGGAATCTCCTTCCTTAGAGGTTTTTAAGGTCAGGCTTAACAAAGCCCTGGCTGGGATGATTTAGTTGGGGATTAGGTCCTGCTTTGAGCAGGGGTTTGGACTAGATGACCTCCTGAGGTCCCTTCCAACCCTGATATTCTATGATTATATGCAGATTACTTAGTCACTTTCCTCCAAACTCTCTAGCCACTGAGTTTCTTTTGATTATACTTAACTGCCATATTAATGTATGAAATTATCTAATTGTGTTGCTAGGTCTGTATTTGCTGTTTTTGCTGGACAGAAGAAAGGTTAGCTGGCTGATGTCTTGGCTGTAAAATAGCATATGCGCAATGTGCCAGGATTCATCACCAAATTTGGTCCGCTGGTTGGATCATTATCTTCCCCGGCATGGGCCGGGTACTGACAGGGAGTACAACATGAGCACTGATCCATACCCCCATGATAGTAATAATAATAATAAATAATACCTATCACTTACACAGCACGTTACATTGTCACAGCACTCTACAAACATCAACAATCTATTTTATGGATCACTTGAAGTTAACGGAAGTTCATGGAAAGCATTAAAGAGGTGTGTATACACCCCAAAGCTGGCCCTTCAGAGTTGCTTTTGGATCACACCTGTTTACTGAAGAGTGGTATTGTATTTCTGGGGATCTAAACGGCGTCTGATGAATTTAAAATATGATGATGTTTTTAATTTAACCACCTAGGTCTGTTACATGACTCTCCTGCTATCCTAGGAGCTGTAATAAAGAATGGTTCCCATTTGCTGAAATGCTAAATTAAACAACTTACTATCCATTTAGGGCACTTATTCTAATTTTGGCATCGGCTATTACTTTGGAAACATAATAAAACAATGTTTAGGCAAGTCAAAGGAGAGTTAAGTGAATGCAGTTTTTCAATGAATACCCAAACATCTATTGGCAAAATCCAGTGGAAAGGAAAAGAATAAATCCATTGATTATGGAGAAGTTTGTCAGCTCCATTCCAAATGGCTTTGTCTTCTGTTTTTCAGAATGGAAGATCTGCGGTGGGTTTTGGCCAGCTTGTGATGCTGTAATGATGAACTAGAGAGGACCAAGGGCTTTCAGTAACTTCCATTTCTTGATAAAGAAACCAGCTACTAAAACCATGGCAATCGGATTTTTGGAACCTTCCCTCCAATTCTGATGAGGCCTGGGTGTTATGGAATTTTATGAAGAATGATTACATTAGCAGCAGATTATTTAAAAAAATCATGAAATGCATATTTCTCTTACTTCCAGATTTTGAAGGTTAGGTGTCAGGATGGAGATTTTCCTCCAGTCGGTGGCAGGAAATCCAGGACAGGCCTACAGAGCTGCAAACCGTGACATCACTCCTTCTTCAGAGAGTGTCCGTGATCAAAAGGCCTTTGCATCTCTCTGTATTTCTAGTGCAGTGAAGTTTGGTGTGGGGATCTCGATCACAATCTCCTGTACAGAGTCCAGTATGAACCAAGGAAGCTCTTTAAAAATAGGAAAAATTACCAACATTTGTTGTTAAGGTGAAATTAACTTCACCCGCATTTGCAGTCTATGCTAGGGAAGTGCAGGGCAGTTGAGGAAGGGAAACTTCTCAGGGGCCAGGCACAGGCCATCCCCACAACTGTTTCCAACCTGTGGGATGGAAGAGTAGGTACAGCCCCTTCAAGCAGATTGTATCAGTTCCTGGTCACTGGATCCACGTAAATCTGGATTTAAACCCCTCTCCATGTCCATCTCTGGAACACCCCTGGAACATTAAGCTTTTTAATACTAGCCTAAGCTTTTTAAGTTTTTAACTTTTTTAACTTTTTAACACTGGCTGTCGTGGCCACTCCCAGAGCTTAAGTGATGTGGAGGACATTGCATCAGCCCTCTTCCCTAATGTGTGGCTGATCTGCTGTGTGACCTTGGGCAAATCACTTCACCCCTTGGTGCTGCTGTTTCTCCTCCTGCCCTTTGTCTATTTAGATTGAAAGCTCTTTAGGGCAGGGACAGTCTCTCATTCTGTGTCTGTACAGGACCCAACAGGTTTATGATTGTTATTGCTGTACCAGCTAGGAGCCCTGGGCATGGCCCAGTGCCCCATGGGGCAGTACGTACAAAGAGACAGTCCCTGCCCTAGGGGCTCATAGTTTAAGTACAGGACAAGAGACACCAGATGGGAGAATGCAAATAACCAATGAGCCTAATTGGTCCATGTGACAGGAAATGGCCTCTGCACACCAGCAGCCTAACCATGGTCAGGGTTTATGCAGGCGCCATGGCAAAGGAGAGTTCTGAGGAGGGATTGGAAGGTGGCTAAGGAGGTCATGCTGCAGAGGTTTACAGGGAGTACCTCCCAAGCCTGGGGTAGCATGGGAGAAAGCACCAAGGTCTTTGTTTGAAAATTTACCAAGTCGGCAATGGAGGCAGGCATCATGGGCTAATTGGAGACGAGCACCAACACCAATGTCTCTGCCCAGGCCTCTAGGTTCTGCCATAATATACTAACAGTAAGTAGAAAACTCAACTCATGCTTAACTATGGGGCTGCAACAAGCACTTCCAGAATAACATAGCAATCTGTACGACAAAGAGCCTTCCAGTCACAAAGGGCTATATGAACAAAAGATTTCATGAGCTGCATTGTGCCTTGTCCTCATTGCTACTGACTTCCCTAGCTGAAATCAAGTATGAAGTGTTGGATCTGCATCTCCTAGTCGCAGCTGGGGTTAATGCACTTCATAATCCCATCCCTCAGTCTGTGTGGCATAGCTGGGTACCTCTACACTTTGAGCTGAGGAGCTCGAGGAGACAGGTCTGTGCTAGCTCTGATTGAGCTAATGCACTAAAAATAGAGCAGTGTCAGGGGCTAGCTGCCTGAGACTATGCTTAGCATCTCAGACGGGTGGGTAGTCGAGGCAGTTAGCTCATCCACAGGTCTGTCCTGAGCTCGGAATTATACCCTCAAATCAACCTGCAGACACACATCTGGGTCTGCTGAGAGGAGATGGGAAAAGAAAGTATGCTGGGTTTCACCTTGACAGAGTGAGAGCTAGACTGGGACACTTCACTACATACAGTTTTATATGATACAGTCCAGTGCTTGCAGGAGTCTGTTTTGTTTTTAATATACCTTTACACCAATATTTCTAAAGGCATTTTCTAGACCAAAAAATTATTTAACTTAGTGGTAAGTATATTAGAGGAGGTTATCTACCCACTAGAAAATAATACATACTATGAATGCTACATCTGATAAATCTAAAGCATTAAAAATATGGAAATGATCAATTAAAACTATATAGACACAGGGTTGGTCTCTCTGGAGACCCATTGGAGTCAAACAGAGTTAGGCCAGTGCTGAACCCTTTGAAAATCCTCCCCAAAGTTTCTCGTGCCTTTGCAGCTCCTGCATTCTCTTTAAAAATGCAGATGTGTGAAAACTCACATACAGCATATTCCAGTGGCAACCTTAACTCTGACCTTCCAGCTGGTTCTCACGCCCTTAGGTCCTTTTGGATAAAAGAGACAGAGCCTAAATCCCATTTGCAGAAATAACTTACAGCCAGATTTTCAAGGGTATTTAGGCACCTAAAGATGAAGATAGGATGGGAGTTAGGTGCTGAACTTGCTGAGGTGCTTTCTGAAAATCCCACTAGACACCTGTCTGCATCTTTACACTCCTAAATACCTTTGAAAATCTGGCCCTTGGACCCAGATCCTCGAAGGTATTTAGGCCCCTAATTCCCATTGAGAATCTGGGCCTGAGGAGTCTAAGTCCCATTGGCTTTAAATGAGGTTCCTAAGTGCTTAGGTCATTTTTGGAAATGGGACTCGGGCTTCTACATCATGTTAATTGAATTGTCTCGTTAGACTGACCTCACACTTGGTAGGGCAACTCACATCTTTTCATGTATTTATACCTGCTCCTGTATTTTCCACTCCATACATCTGATGAAGTGGGTTCTAGCCCACGAAAGCTTATGCCCAGATAAATTCGTTAGTCTCTAAGGTGCCACAAGGACTCCTCGTTGTTTTTATATCATGAAGATGCTTTGGAAGTGTTAGCACCAGTATCTAAATGTAAAATGTTGTTTTGTTATGTGGTGTATTCAATTGGGATGTTCGCTACATTTCAGCAGTTGGTTTCTTTACTAACCCCGGTCTACACTAGAGAGGGGGGATTGATCTAAGTTATGCAACTTCAGCTACATGAATAACATAGCAGAAGTCGACCTACTTAGATCGACTTACCGTGGTGTCTTCACTGCGGTGAGTTGACAACTGCAGCTTCCCCATCGATTCCGCCTGCGCCGTTTGCAGAACTGGAGTACAGGAGTCGACGGGAGAGCACTCGGGGGTCCATTTATTGTGTCTAGACTAGATGAGATAAATCAATCCCTGCTGGGTCGATCGCTGCCCGCCAGTCCGGCAGGTAGTGTAGACATACCCTAAGTGTCAAAGTCAAATTTTACTGAGTGTGATAGGAAAGGTTTTAGTTCAGATTTTGCATTGTGGTACTGAGGTCTTCAGTGGTAAAATTCTGTTTCACTGTCAGGGCGACACTCCTGCAAAAACACCCAGTTAACTTTGTGCACGTGAGTGGGGCCTTTGGCTTCAGTGAGCCTGCTCCCATGTACAAAGTTGTGCAGGACACAAGTCTGAGTGGGATCAAGGCCTAAGATTGTGGGCAGCTTCAGGAAGGATCATGCCAGTTTGTTCCTTGTATTATATGTATACATTTTAGAAGTTATCAGAGAGAAGCTGAGATTATGAAAACTAAATGAATAGGAGTTGGATGTTCCAGTCCCGTAAGCACCTTCAGAATTAGAGTTGCCAGGTGTCCGGTTTTTGATTGGAACGCCCGTTCAAAAAGGGACCCTGGGCTGTTAAAAGTCCAGTTGGTGGGGCTGGCAGGCTCCTTATGGGGCTCCATGTGGTTCCCTGAAAGCGACAACGTGCTCCTAGGTGGAGGCACAGCCGGGGAGCTCCATGCGCTGCCCCTGCCCTGAGTGCCGGCTCCGCAGCTCCCATTGGCCAGGAACCATGACCGATGGGAGCTGAGGGGCAGTGCCTGCAGGCGGAGACAGCATGCAGAGCCTCCTGGCCGTGCCTAGGAGCCAAGGGACATGTCGCAGCTTCCGTGGAGCCTCCTGAGGTAAGCCCGGATCCTGCTCCCCTCACCCCTCCTGCACGCCAGCCCTGCCCTGAGCCCCCTCCCACACCCAAACTCCCTTCTGGAGCCTGCACCCCTTCCCACACCCCAATTCCTGCCCATACCCACACCCAGACTTCCTCCTGGAGCCTGCACCCCCAGCGCCCCAACCCCCTGGCCCAGCCTGGAGCCCCCTCCCACACGCTGAACCCCCTCATTTCTGGCCCCATTCTGGAGCCTGCACCCCCAGTCCAGAGCCTGTACACCCTCCCACACCCCAGCTGCCTCCCATACTCCAAACCCCTCATCTCCACCCCCCCCAGCCCGGGGTCCCCTCCTGCACCCCAAACTCCTCATCCCTGGTCCCACCCCAGAGCCTGCCCCCAACCCCCTGTCCCAGCCCAGAGCCCCTTCCCACACCCTGAACCCCTCATCTCTGGCCCCACCCTGGAGCTCACACCCCAACCCCCTGCCTCAGCCTGATGAAAATGAGTGAAGGGGTGAGGGCAGAGAGAGGGGGGATGGAGTGAGCGGAGGGTGGGGCCTCAGAAAAGGGGCAGGGCAGGGTGTTCAGTTTTGTGGGATTAGAAAGTTGGCAACCCTAGTGACCATAGCAACTACCATGTGGAGCATTTTGTATTTCTATGTATTCCTCAGACTTCCCTGGCATTACTGAGCTGTGTTGGGATATGATTATATTCGTCTTTGATTCTTTGACTTAATATGTCCTTTTGTTTACTATTTTATGTCCTACCTATGCATTTAATTGTGTTTTAAGTGTACAGTGAGTTGTTGAGCAAAACTGCCTTTTAAATTTGTATGAGGTGTGCTGGCCCTGTTTAATGGATGTGCCAGGAGAGGTGAGCAGTGTCAGACCTTCTGGGAATGACTTCTGTTGGGATGTGTCAGGGGGAGGGAAACCTGATCTCTATTTCTACTATTTGTAATTCTGATCTCTGCCTGTAAAGGAGCAGACTCACCCCTGCGGCGCCTCCTGCTGGTCTTTGGGAATTAGCTCTTTTCCAGCCTGGAGCGCCCTCTGCAGGCTGGTGATCCGCACAGCTCTAGCCCCCGTGTCCCTCACAGACCCCAGTACCCCTTTCTCTGGGGTTCTGCCCCCTGGCAGTACCCGCACACTCTGCCTCTGGGTCTCCCCTTCCTGGGGAACCCCCAACCCACTATCCCCACTTTGCCTCAGTCTGAGCTACTGCCAGTCATCACCAAGCCCCTGCTCCCTGGAGCAGACACAAGGCCACTCACTATAGGCAAGTGGGTTTGGACCTGTTGCCGTCCTCTGCCACCCAATACCTCTATGGACCTTGGATCAGGCCCTACAACCTGGGGAGTTGCCAGCCCGGAGCGCCCCCTCTCAGCCTGCTCCTTCCCCAGCACGGCACCACCCTGTCAGGCAGGCAGCCAGGCCCTGCTCTCTCCCAGCCTGGAGAGAGACTCCTGGGGCCTTTGGCTCCCAGCCTTTCGATACAGGCCAGCTGGCCAATCAGCCAGCCCCAGCCACTGCCCTCTCCAGGGCTGCTTTTAACCCCTTCTATTTTAGGAGTGGGGTAGCCACCCTGCTACACTGCCCCAAAAGGAAAAGCAAGTGAGAGGAAGAAGCTAAAAGCAAAGCAATATTCCAGCAACCCCTCTGTCTCCCCAACCCCGCTCCTCCTTTCGAAAAACTCAAGCTTGAACTGTTTTCACGTTGGCTTTTTCCCCCCAGACTTTTTCTCTCTTTTGTCAGATACCAAGGCCCAAAGAACCGTGCAGGGTACCCTGATAGACCTCGTTCCCACACTCATAATTACTGGGTCACAGGAGACACAAAAGAAGGTGCTGTGCTCATCGGACTTTGGGGGAGGTGGAGACGCACAAGAAATTTTTTTTAAAGCTGGCTCTGCTGGCGTTAGCTCATTTCTTTCTCACTGAAGATGACCTTCAATTTCTCCCTGGCTAATCCCTCCCTTTGATTCCCCTCCCCTCTCCTCTTCCAGGTCTGGATGTTTATCATATTTTTTCCCCCTTAGTGACTCTGTTCCTCTTTGTGGTTTTGAAGTTCAGACCCAAAGTCCAGATGTCTCCATCCTTCCCACAAAGTAGCACCTTTTTGGGAGGCAGGCGCCATAAAGTGTTGTCTGAACTTTAAAGATGCTGTAAGGAATTCAGGGCTCTGCTCTTCTGTGGGATGTGTGTGTAGATATTGTTAACATGAGTTATACATGCACACATAAAGGGATTTCTAAGCCCCATAAGATGGAAGGCATAAACAGAAACCCAGCAAACGCATGAGAACCATATCATACGTTACATCATCTATATTTGGACAGACAAATATTCACACAAACTGGTTAACCAGCCCTTGCTAGAATTAACCATACAGTTAACCAGCCCTGTGTGCATTAACCATCCCTGATTGTTGTCCAGAATTGATTGGGGCTGCTTAACACCAGAGCACTCATTTCTGTAGCAGTGATATTGTGCATAATTTGTTATTTTCATGAGAAATTCTTGTTCTGTGGTGTTAATTTCCGAAGGATGTGCACTCAGCCAACAAGCCAGCAGAACAAAGTAATCCCCCTCATTGGATAAATGCTGAAATCACAGCTGGGCCCAAGCCAGAACCTTCCATCTGAACTTCTCTCCCTGTATTTTGTTGGCCTGGATGAAATGCCCTGAACCACCCTTGACTTTGGTTTAGTAAATGTAAACCTGACTTATGAGGTTTAGTTTTACCCAACCCACTCCAGTACCTCTGAGACTGGACAAACATGGAAGGTTTATCGGAACACACAATCACAAATTTTGGGGTTGAATACAGTGGGGTCCTGATCTGAACCAAAATATGGCTTGAGTCTCTCTCGAGCTAAAAGAAAAAGACTTAAAAACACAATCCCATGCACTGTGACTGTAATTATAACTGCCTTGCATCATACAGTGTAAACAATACCCAGGTCTAGTGCACACACATCTAGCTGCAGATTAACATTCTGACTGTTGAATTACATGTGCTCATAACACAAAGAATGCTGTTAGCGATCTAATCCTAATACATAACTAAGACATGTTCCTTCAGGGAATCTGTAGTCAAAACTTGTAACCTGGGCTGTGCAAAGTTAGGGATCTAACGCTGGGATTCTCAGAAGAGTTAGGCACCCATTACTTACACTTAGGTTGTAAGTGCTCTGAGGCAGGGGCCATCTTTTTGTTTTGTGTTTGTACAGCACCTAGCACACTGGGGTCTTTGTCAATGACCAGGCCTTCTAGGTACTACCACAGTTATAATAATAATAATTAATTAATATCTAGCCACCTTAATTAGAATGGTCTCATTTTAAGGTGCTTAGTGCCTGCAGTTAAAATTTATTTCAATGAAAGCTATGGGTGACTAAATATGGATTTAGTTGCCTGACTTTAGATACTGAAATTTGAAAACTTTGGCCATAATACAGGGACTTACATTATTAATCATCCTTATGCAACTGACTTTCTGTTCTATGCCATAGCTGTTGGAAGACTCAGCAACTGTGGTACATAAAGGACAAAGAGAGTCAGAATTAAGGTTGTTATTGGACATCTAATATTAGTGTTCACATGTCTAGATTTTTGTTGGCAAATTTATGAATTTGTAAGGATATTCAAATCATTATACACATAACCTTTATTTAGCATTTGCATTCTTCTTAATGGTTACGTTTTGGTGGCTTTTTTAAGCTGTAATGAAATGCTGATAGTACTTACTGTAGCAATCTTAAGTATGTAAACAATTTTTGTTTGGGAATATAAGCAGGGTTTCAATATTTACAGACCTGATGGGCTATAATTCAGTTGCTATATTAGCAGGTATTAAAATGGTTTATTAACTGGTCAAAAACTGATTGCTATACCCCACCTAGGCTTGCCTCCTGCATCCACGAAAGGATGGGGGAGCTGAAATGTACTGACAGCCCCTTACAGTCTGAATCCAAATATCTCTGGGCTTTTAAGAGATGTTTGTAAAGCTGCCTATAAGTTTACTCTAGCGAGATCCAGACACTTCATGGTCTTTTGTGGCACATGCAGAAGGAGCTATCAGAGGCTCAATCACTATGCACAAACACAAAGCCACCTCAGCCTAATATGTATCTTTTTATATCAAACAGGCCAGTGGAAAAAAAGAGAGGCTATGATAGCAGCATGGGATGAGAGATAAAGTCTTCCTGTTTCCCACAACACCCTGGTATTCTTATCTGCTCTACAGTGAATATAAAACATGGAGCTGGAGAGTCTGAGTCCCAGAAAATGTCAGCTCTTCTGCATCTGGTTTCACTGCAGCCCCATTTTGTCTGAGAGGGGATGCTAAGAAACCAGCACAGGGCTCTGGCCCTGTGAAACCTGAAGGCTTAAATGTCAATGTGTCTTGCAGAGAGTTAGGGGCACAGCTCCCATTGAAATCATTCACCCTGCTTGCTCACAAAATTCCTCATGCAGGGCTTGGAAAGTTTCCCCTCCATGCACAGAAACAATAGGACTCCCAAGAGAAGAAGGCAAGGGGGATGGTGAATGATCTAGCACTGTGCATTTGCGCTCTCACGTAAGGCTCTAACTAGCCATTTTGGATGAGGCTGCATCTCAAAAACACTTAAGTGTCCCCTAAGCTGTTCAGCAGCTGCTATTGCTCTGTTATTTCATCTGCTCACTGGTAATTCTAAGAATCATATCTCTCCTTGTTTTGCTTTTTACGCCATCCTCTGGATGCTGAGGAGACATACACACATACAGCCAGTTTCTACACAAGTCAAAATCCAGAGTAACTGCATGGACTCCAGTTCAGCTATTCAAATGTACACTAACATCATTGAGATCAGAATCTGGCCTGCAGCCTCTTAAAGCCTTTTGCTGGCTAACACGCTGGAAAATGCCAGCATCCTGGTGGCTAAAAGACACTGTAAAGTCGTTTCACTGAATTGGTTTGATCTATTTTCATTCTCTTCTCTCTCTGACTTTTCATGCAACAGTAACAGTAATGACACCTCTAGATTATCCTAATGCAAAACCAGCATTGCCAAACCCATGCGTTCAAAAGTCATGAGTCAGGGCTCAATTTTAAGAGCCCTTTAAGTCGAAAGAAATGGCTTCGTTATGTGGACAGGTGCAGGGTTAAATGGATCTAACGCTGCTAAATTCAACCTAAACTCGTAGTGTAGACCAGGGCTTGGATTTGTCTCTATTTCAATGGATGGGTGTTGAAGATTTCGAAATGCAGCTCATTCAGTTAAAAAGCTCAGAATTGTGGGCACCAAAGTTTGGAGATCTGCAGAGTGCACTTGAAGCTACCGAGAGAGATCATGGGGCCTCTATTCTGACCTGCTGGACGTCTCTGCCAGCGAAATTTAACTGTTTGAAGATTAAGAAAATTGCGTTTGCAATGCTTTCAGCATTTGGATCCACATACCTGTGTGAACAGGTATTTTCACACATGAAATCTGTCCTCTGTCCCTCTCGGAGCCGGTTCTGATCACTCAGAAGCCTGCGTGCAGCTTAAAGTATCCAAATACATGCCAGACATTGGAAAATGCAGCAAGGAAAAGCAAGGGCAAGGATCACACTAAACTGATAAAAAGAAAAGGAGTACTTGTGGCACCTTAGAGACTAACCAATTTATTTGAGCATAAGCTTTCGTGAGCTACAGCTCACTTCAACTGATAAGATCTGCATTTTAATTTAATTTTAAATGAAGCTTC